GATACTCATTTCATTCGAAATTTTCCGAGGCAAAGCCTTGATGACATGTTAGTGTATTCCAAAGACTATGATTCTTCGGCTCATTATCGAATTCTGAACTCTTTTGAAACTGATCCACAAAGTCCTGGGCTCAATTGCAACCATAGTAAATGAAGCATCGGAAATGTGAGAAGAATACCTGTTTCTGTTTGTAGAAAAACAATGATGGCCGTTCTAAAATCAGGATGAAATCTCCGGCAATTTGATTGGTTATTTATAGTAGCTCCAATCTGATTGGTGTGACATATATACATCTCTCACTCATCCGTTGATCCATTGACCCGATGATAACATACTCCAGACCCACCGACTAAGAAGTATTTTTTTTTACAAAAAAGTAACTCAAAAAAAGTGATTGGGTAGAACGTGCTGTGTGATCATCCGACCAGTTTAAAAACAATTTATTCTTTGCATTATGCTTGTTTATCTCTAGAAAATGAAATATTTCGAGAGGTAGCCGAAGATTTTAGTTTTCGAATCTCAAGTTTCAGCACATTTATGAGCTTGAGGAATATTGCACACGTCTCCGTTTTGTTCAGGTGAGTACATTTTCATGACTAATATATGAACTGTTCACTGCGCAGTTATACTACCGATATCAAACGAAAGGTCTGATATATGTGATATATTTTTTTATTTTTGGACTAAGATACTCGAAGAGCTCAAGTGGTCAGCGCATCAATTTTACCTGAAAGTGAATTTCTTGGAACAACAGAGCTGAGAATCCTTCACTAAGTTTTGATTTAGTGCACCCAGTTACAGTTTCTCCAAACTGTGCAAAATCGTTGCTCAAGCTGTGAAAAAATTAGTTTCATAACTTTATCTACGATTTGAACCGAGGATAGGCATTCAATGTCGCGCTAGGAAACATTATGGGCAGTTAATCGATTTCCTTTTCGAGGCGAATTATTTTCGTCATTTTGAATAACAGGAAGCAGACGGAAAAATCCTTTCTGTGTTGTATCAATTTGCACGGATTTTAATATATAGAGCGTGTTCATCACCACGAAATAAAAAATAAAATCAAAAACCATTCAGTGGATAGAGTCCAGAAATTGTGATATTATAGAAGATAAATAAGAGCAGACAGTTCTCTAAGTTTAAGGGGTGTGCGTTGTCTCAAAGTTGAGAGATTCGTCGAAATGTTCGCCGCA